CAAGCTGTCTTTGTTGATAATTTGATTTATATTTTAAATATATTATTTATTATTTATTATTATATTTTCCTTCTTGTGGCCCCAGCAGTACAATTGAGGCTTAAAGTATCTACATTTTAGTGTTCAATCAGCAATTAAATTATCAATAATTCTTTTTTTTAAATGAACTACAAATCGAGACTCATTTTCAATAAATTTGAAGCTAACAAGTGGACTCAATTTGTTTCATTGCAAGAGATTTACTTTTTGTCATTAAACTATAATTGTTTAATCAATCACTGATCTTTAACTTGACATGGTTAAAACGTAAGCATCTCTATTCCTAGGACATCCAATCGAAAATAGGAAGATGTTGCAGTTAAGAGGAAGATTTGTTGTGTTATCGATGCCAACATAGTAGTTTTCATCAATTTTTTCACCGTTACTTTTTTAAATCAATCGTCAATTTTTTATTTTTTCACTCACGGATGAAACCCACTTTTCTCTCCGACGATCAAAAAATTGATTCTCACAATCACTACTGAACAGGCTCTAAATTAAAGATCAGTGATTGATTAAAATAAAAGTTCAGTGATCCAATTGAAATTTCTCTAAAAGTTCACCTAAAGGTGTAATCTCGAGTCAATGAAGCTAAAGCTTCATATTACCCCCAAATGACCCGACTCAATTCACACACCCATAAATGATTCAACTCATTTCAAATACCAACAATTCAGCTCATTTCACGCCTCTAAGTATATCTCTGCACTTCTGCCATGTTTGCATCTGTAAGGTCCAAAATTAGAGATGTCTTGAGGAATGTAGAAAAGGAACATGAGGGGCATATCCTGTACCATGATATTCTCTATATATGCACATGAAAACTAATCCAAAATAATCCATTCGACAGATACAATAAATGAGTTGGACACAACCCATAGGTTCCAAAATAGAGTCAAGGCTTTATCAATTTTAAAAAGAAATTAATAGATTACCTAGAAAAGCTGCAACATGGAGAGCAATAGAGCTTTTGATAAAAAACCACAAAATAATGTGCAAAAAGTATCATCAAGTTTACAAGGAACTCCATAAAAGACAGTGCACAACAGACAACAGCTCCATTGATAAAATAATCAAGATCTTGATGGGTTGATTATTTTAGTTTAAACTAATCCCAACCCCCTTCCCACCCAACAACAACAACAACGAATGACACCGAAACTTTGTTCACAACAAATTCAAGGTCGACTATATGAATCCTTGTTCGTCACTCCGTTCCATTGCTAGAGCTAACGTGAGATTTAAAGTAACCATCTCCTTAACAACATAACTCCTATTTGACAAAAATTATGCTAACTGTCAATCTAGTACAACTCTAATCCATCGTCCAGGCTAGGGACTTGCTATTAAAAATATAGATGGATTCAACCGCCATCCCCCCACACCCAACAACTAATACAAACAAACAAATACATACATAATACAACAGCACAACACCACCTATAAAGTTGAACTCCCAAAGCATGCTATTATCTAAGAATACATACACCAAAAAAGCATGGACGAAAACGGAATGAAAGCAAGAAGTTTTCGCTATGAAGACTACAATACCAGAAGGGTTTTCTTAAGGAGCTATCCACTTCACTGGGGATCTGAATCAGAGGCCGAAGAAAGCAAAGAAGAAGGTCAGGAATACAGAGAAGCTGCTGTAAATGTCAAAACTGGGAAGAAACCAGTTAAGAAGATAATCCTCGCAGCTATCCAATGGGGAGGAGAAAGGGTCATACTTTTGAGAACGGTTAAGGATAAGATAGCCATTTATCTAGTCAACTGTATACCTGTCAATTTCAAGGTTCCTACTGCTTTGATTTCAATTTGATGTCTCTTTTGATCATGGAACTTCTGTTTTCTATACTACAATCTCTTATGTAAATAAGAAAATATGGTGACAAGTTCTCTATTACACAGAATGACACCATGTAAGAGTTTTCTAAGACTCATGTTATATAATCAATGCAGAAAGGGCTCTTGTTCACTAGTCTATGTCATAATTACAATTTGCCAGTTCCCCACAAAAAGCACCAGATTCATCAACAAGAGAAATTCCTTTATGATATCCTTATCATACACATTACAATTGTTAGTTGCAATTCAAATAATTCCTCTACAAGAAATGTTTCGCATACAGCTGTCCATAAGATGAGAGTCAGAAGAGAAGAAAGCAGGGTCAATCCAAAAGTCCAAACTAACATGACCTATTTAGATCTAGCAATGAACCAAATGGTGTGACGAAAAATGATTCATAGAGCCAATGCTAAATTTATTGACAACAAGGCTTACTTTGTTGGTGTGTATGAACAAGTTGTTCAGCATTAATATGCATATTGAGTTCATTTCCTTTCACATGGGCTGAGCATGCTAACTTCCAGTCAGCACCAAACTTGGGAAGGGTTTTGGAGTCAACTCACCTTGGGGAATGACAGCCACCTAGTTTCTAAAGGTTTATTATGAACCTTGTTGTCCAGTTAATAAATGGGCATGAGGAAGGTTAAAGACAGTTGTGTCCAGAAAGCAGCCTATGATTTAAAGAAGGTTTATGTCAAAGAAATCCACGGGGCATTTATTAGAAAACTAGGACACAGTCTACAGTAGATTCCTAAGAACTTTAAAGTTACGGAGAGATCAAAGGGAGTGCGTGTATTTTTATTTTTTTTTATCGGTAAATGTAAATTCCATTGATCAAAAATTCATGTATAATTACACCGAACATACCCGGGCAAATCAAAAGTCAAAAGATTTATAAACAACAAAGATCTATCAACCCAATATTAGAAACTCAAAATGAACCAAAACATTAGGATGCAAAGAAAACATGACTTTGTTTACATGTGTTTTAATCCATCTCACTATGCTATCCAAATGTGACGTAAGATCTTCAAAACATTTTCTATTTTGAGCCAACCATATGTAGTAAATTGTACTTACAAGAGCAATTTTCTTCACTTTACTATGCCAAGATGCCCAACGAGCCACCTTTTTTATCCACTTCAATGCGCTACCAATCGTAGTCATTGATCTGATAATGCCAAGCCATGATCTTATCTGCATCCAAATGGAGGAGCTCAATGAACATTGAAAGAATAAGTGTTGAACCGTTTTAGTTGACGATTCACATAGATAAGGTACACCAACTTGTCTTTTGTTAGGAGCTTAGCTTGAGCGCTTAGCTATAGGATAAATGAGTGCTTTGGAGTAATAAAGGATTTCCATATATTAGCTGCCCATGCTTTCCGTTCACCTTTTAGTCCGAAATGTTCATATGCCATGGAAACTTTAATAAACTGCCCAGAAATCCAACTTTGCAATCTGTCTATTGCATTTTGTTCGTTCCCAGTGGCCTGCATCAAGCGGTCCCTCGTTTCCAGCAGTTTTTTGATAAGTAGAGAATCATCTTTCTCGGCTGTCTTCTCCCAAACAGTTGCATTTTATGAGGAGAAATTGATTTCTTTTATTTCTCAATAATTTGTACAATGAAAGGATCCATATACATAGTACAAGGAAAGCTGTAAAAAAGGAATAAACTCTAATCCCCTAAAGATAGTAAGAAATCGATCAATATATGATATAGAACACTATTATGGTAAGGAGGATTTCCATCAATTTTCTTCAATCAATCCAGCTCCTTCATGTATTAGACATGAGATTTCAACATTCCCTTGCAAGTTGGATCGTAAATATCATATCCAACTTGCATATGAAATCATCGAATCTTTGTCGAGGTAGTCCTTTGGTAAAAATATTTGAAATTTGTTCATGTGTAAGAATATAGGTAATGCAAATAGTTCATTTCTCAATCTTTTTTTAATGAGAAGTGTTTGTCTACTTTCATATGCTTGGTGCGATCATACTTAACAAGATTGAGAAAAATATTCATCACTTCTTCATTATCACAATAGAGTTTGATTGGAAACTTTGTTATGACATGCAATTCTTCCAGAAGTTTCCTCAACCACATGCAATTCTGTCAATTTCCACTGGATCTCTGACATCTTCAGGTTTCTTCCCCGTATCAATAGGTGTACCACTTGGCTTGCATCCTAGCATGCCGTTTTCAGTTAAAAGGTCAAGAATTCGCCCTCGAACATCATCGAGGTCGCGGTGGAGCCCCCCCCCCCCCCCCCC